GGGAAGGAGCGGGAGGAAGGAAGGGAAGGAGAGAACTGAGGACAGGAGCTGACAGAGCCCACTGCACCCTGGCCTGTCAGTCAGTGAGCCCGGCTCCGGCATGTGCAGCGCTGCAGAGAAAAGCCACAGCCATGCACCAAGTAAATAACATTCCAGACATAATGCTGGCAGCACTTCACCCTCTGGGCTAAAACAAAACACAAGAAAGACCAGGCCTCACACAGGCTCACAGACAAGCCTGCATCCGAAGGGCCTGCTGGTAGGCCCCGATGCTGCGGGTTACAGAGACGCTGGGCTGACCTGCGGGCTCCACGCAGGAAGGTTATCCAAGCCGAGGACTGTTCTGAAGAAAAGCCTGCCCTGTCCTCGTGACCCGCTCACTGCTTTGCCCCAGTGGGGAAGCCTCTCCAAGGCCCTTTATGCAAATATCAGAGTGGCCCGGCCTGAAGGCTTGCAGCTGTGTGGTCTTCTCCGTGCAGCAGTGTCCCCCCCAGACCTCCTTCCCACGGCCCGCAGCCTGGAGACACAGCCCTGGCTCAGGTGGCGGGTTGGCTCAGGACAGGCACTGGCATCACTGGGACCCCCGTGCCGCCCGTCCTTCGTCCTTTCTTCCCGGCGGGTCAGTGCACGGCCCACTGTCCTCTGAGAAGGACCGCAGCCTCTGGACAGGAAGGAAGGCACTCCACTGGGCGTGAATGACCCTCCCACCGTCAGTGGGAAAGCACGAGAAAAGGCACTTCCCAGTTGAGAACCAGACCCCAAAGCCTCCTGCAGTGGAGTTTGCCCTCAGGTTGGGCTTTCCCTGTGGAGTGTTCTGGGGTTTTAGTTTCTTATGAAGGAAATGGGTTCTTGCTTAAAACTAAATTAAAACATGGAACGAGGTTTTGATAGCCTTTCTCAAGGGTTGTTAACAAAAATCCTATATAACAAAAGGCTAATATGCAAATCGACCGAACAGCAGAACAACCAGTTGCTATGATGCGCACTGACCACCAGGGAGCAGATGTTTAATGCAGAAGCTGCCCCCTGGTGGTCAGTGCGCTCCCACAGGGGGAGCTCTGCTCAGCCAGAAGCTGGGCTCAGGGCTGGTGAGTGCAGTGGCGGTGGCAGGAGCCTCTCCGGCCTCTGGGGCAAGAGGACATTCCCTGAGGGGTCCTGGGCTGTGAGAGGGCACATGCAAGGCCGGGCTGAGGGATCCCCCCCGCCCCCCCAGTGTACAAATGTCGTACACCAGGACTCTAGTTCTGACATAAAAGCACCAATAGAATATTCTTTGAAGGAGAATTTCCTCCTCTCCTTGTAACCCTAAATATCAGAACTTCTCACGGTAAGTAGAATTTTTAAGTTGCTTTTTTCAACAGTGAGTAAAGAAAAGTATAAAGCTCCTAAGTTCACCTCACGGAGTGATATTAAGTGTTCCTTTACCCAGAGGGAACCTACTTCATGCCTACCTTCCGAGCAGAAGGAATGGCTTAGAATTTTCTACGCCTACCTCAGCCTTGATTTACATGTCTCACCCCTGGCTCCTCACGCACCCGAGTTCTCAGCATCTATTCATGGCCCTAATCAGCCACAGCTCATCTGTCTTCAGGCTGACAGGGCCCGGTTGAAAACCGGTTGCCTTTTTTCTTTTTTTTCCCCCCTGAAAGGGCCTGTGTCAACTGCCTCTAAAAATGCCAAATTGCCGATTCATCATCATTACAGAGGATGAAGGTAATCACTAGAATGACCCCCCCCCTTTTTTTTTCTATCACAGAATTTATCATTTTTCCCAAATAAGAGATGGCCAGGAAAATATTTTCAACTCGCAGAAAGCGCCAGCCCTCTCGCTGGTGTTCTCCATCACGTTCTCTGTGGCCACACGTGGTGGGGGAGGGCCCAGCGGGCAGAGCGGCTGCAGGCCGCACGTGTTCTCATCCCGTCCCGGAGACCACCAGCGGCGCTGCCTCCCCACAAGCCCCTTCTAAACGATACCCCTCCGAGATGACAAATACCATCTTCGATTTCTTAAGACTGTTCCTGAAAGCTGCCTCCCCCGCCCCCTTTAAAAGATGCTTCGACCAGAAAGGGGCGGCGTGCCTTCATCGCCGGGGCGGCTGCAGCCCTGGGGAGGGTTCGGTCTGGAGGAGATGGGGGATTTCACCGGACCCTAAGCAGGGGCTGGCTGGGAGTGAGGTCTGCTGTGTCCAGGGAGACGTGAGCAGCGTGGGCCATCTTGCTGCTCAGCACTTACAGGCTGTGGTGGGACCCAGAGGACAGGAAATGGCTTTTGGTTTAGGACAAGAAGAGCCCTGGGCTACCCCTCCCATCATACTGGAGCTGGTACCCCTCCCCTCGGGGGAGCAGAGTCACTGTTATACGGTCCCTGCGACATGCGGCCAGGACACAGACTCATCATCAAGCTTGAACTTCTTGTGGGTTCAGAGTTTTTCTCAATTTCAATGGCACATGAAGCCCATGTCCCATCACTAATGATTAGAGAAAGGAAGGAAAACCAAAAAACGTGGAGACGGAGGCTCCTTTCCCTCCAGAGTCAACCTGGATAGTTCTAAAGGTCTCATGGCCCCCTGAGAGCAACTGCTGCAGGCACAACTCCACTCCGTGCTCATTTAATCTGGACGCCTGAAAAGCAGACTCCCAGTGCCTGGGGC